ATAATGAAACAGTGGGTAGAACCACGAAGATGATAGCAAGACGAAAAATCTCCTCAAAATGAGCAAGTCTGAAGTTAGTATGATGGTACGTATTCTGAGTGGACACACAGGATTACGAGCACATCTATTCAAAATTGGACGTGGGGATTCAGACGAATGTAGAGCATGTGGAGAGGACAGCGAAACTCTTGGAAGTGATGTTATTCCGGAAATAACATTCCTGACTAACACTGATTAGACGATTCTTAGGAATTACGTTCAGGAAACTGAGTTTATGAACACTGAAAAATATTTCATTCAATACCCTTCGGTTTTTTTTCATGATAAGGAGCGCACAACAGGCCCGATAATGGCCTAGGTGTATTTCTTCGGATTTGATGTAGTATACATCCTCTTATCAACCTACTTACCTACCTAATGAAAATAAATTCCAGAAAAATTAAATGTTTAAAAAATGTCACTTTGATAGCCACATGTAGTGCTTAAAGTAACCGCATGGCACCTTTCTGATGAAATTTAATGCTGAAAGTGTCCGTTTGCATTTAATAAGCAGAAAATGAAGAAAATGTTACAAAAATTACATGTTATTCATAAAAACAATTAGACCTGCTTATGAACAAGAGATCAGTATCTCAGTGGTGAGAGTTTCTAACTACAAAACAATAGACATCATCGATTTGTTGTTAGAAGCTCTTACCACTGAGCTATTGATCTCTTGTTCGTACAAAGCTCTAATTGTTGTTATAAAGAGCATGTAATTTTTATAAAAATGTTTGTATTTTCTGCGCCATTAAATGCAAAGGGATACTTTCAGCATTACATTTCGTCAGAAATATGCCATGTGCTTATTTTTAGCAGTACATGTTGCTATCAAAGTGACATTTTTAAAACATTTAATTTATTTAGAATTTATTTTCATAAACTTCATGCGAAAATTTATAAAATGTGATCTATTGATTACTATGGGGAAGTGTAGTGAATGTTTAGACAACTAGTTAGTTGGAAATGCGGTAATATAACTAGTGAACGGTGCAAATTGTCACTTTTCGTACTGTAGGGTCGATGCAAAATGCGGCTTGTACTAAAAATTTATTTGTTATTGTTGTTTGTTTCTTTGATGCAGATATAAAACAAAAAATTATAAGGAAAATAAAAAAATGAAATAAATTGAAATTTTATAAAATTAAATTCTAAAAAATTAAAAAATAAATAAAAACTGTTTTTTAAAACATATTTGGTGAAGGGTATATAAGATTCGGCTCTGATTTAGAACTCCGACTTATTTAATATTACATTTATATTGAATTATGCCTCGATTTCCATATACTATTTAAGCAATTTATTGATGAAAACTTTGTAACTGAAAAAATAAAGAGGTTTTCTGTTTTATAATAAATTTTCAAACAAAATGTTTTCGACTGCTTTTATGGCAAATTAATTGTTTGTTGTGAGAACGGTTGATAATAAATAATTGAAAATGTTTAAATATCTATAAAATATGTAGATGTTTATGCATAAAAATGAGCATTACAAAAGCCTATATTTCACATAATTAAATTATTTTTATTCTTGTATAGCCACAATTTCAGATTTTGGAAGTCTGGCATAGAATGTTACATCTAATAAAAAATCGTCTAAAGGTGAAATGTAGCTACAATCAAGTCATAAACATTGATATATCATATGTAACGATCGGACTTAAAATTAAGACGCAATATATAAAAAAGTAAGAGTGCTATATTCGGCTGTGCCGAATCTTATATACCCTCCACCACAGTGTATTTAAAAATGATCAATTTTATAAAATTTAAATTTATTTCATTTTCCCGACTACATAATTATTATAGCAATAGCAAAACGAACAACAACAACGCATTTTCCCGAATAAATAATTATTATAGCAAAGCGAAACAAAATACCTAGGCAGTAAAACCAACAGACATCCAAACATACGAAACGAAATACACAAAAAAACAATAACAAAATACACAACGCACTGAGACTAACAGACATCCAAACATACGAAACTGAAAACACCAAGAATCAAAAACAATATACACAAGGCAATGAAACACACAGCCATCCAAACATACGAAGCTAAATACACCAAAAAACAATATACACAAGCCAATAAAACACACAGCCATCCAAACATATGAAACGAAATACTAAAAAAAAACAAAAACAAAATACACAGCGCAATGAATAAGCAGTGTTGTTGTTGTTTATTTATAAAAGCATGAAAAAAATTGTCTTTTTTATGAAATTTTCAGAGATTGTCTCCGATTTTTGCTCATATCTTCGTTATTTATGGACCGATTTTGCTGATTTTAAATAGCGATCGAAAGGATGCCTAACAGAATTATTGAAGATTGGGATCTCGCCGATATCTGGGGTCCTCTAAAAACTGATTTCAACAAACATTCAGACAGACAGACGGACATGGCTTAATCGACTCCGCTATCTATAAGGATTCAGGATATATATACTTTATAGGGTCGGAAAATTATATTTTGGAAATTACAAACGGAATGACAAACTTATATATATATACTCTTCTCACGAAGGTGAAGGGTATATAAACAAAAAGGGCGGTATTTCTAGGCGTGGCAAAAAAATAATTTTTATATTTTTGAAAATGTTATTAACATATCTTTAACCCTAACTTTTTTTAGAGAGACCGACCCACTCTACTGTACATGTTATTTATGTACCTATTATAGTTTCTAAAATTTTTCAAATATAGGACGCAGTTTTAAACCGAATGTATTTAAATTTTTTGTGTTAGTTAGACAACTAAATTACAAAAAACATACCATTTCAGGGCAATAGCATTTTTAGATCCAAAAATAAACGATTTTCAATTCAAAAATTAAAAAAGTTGTAGATTTTTGCCATTTTTTGGGGCGAATATCTCTTTCTTATTAGGTTAGATTGATAGAAGGATGTATACTACATCAAATCTGAAGAAATACACCAAGGCCACTATCGGGCCTGTTGAAAAAAAACCGAAGGGTATTGAATGAATTATTTTTCAGTGTTTAGAAACTCAGTTTACTGGACGTAATTCCTAAGAATTTTTCAATCAATGTTAGTCAGGAATGTTATTTCCGGAATAATATCACTACCAAGATACTTGGATCTAACTTCGACGAATGGCTGACAGTGGCAAAGAAAGTGCTCCAGAGTGTCACTGTCATCTCCACATACTCTACATTCGTCAGAATCCACACGTCCAATTTTCTACAGATGTGCTCCTGTGTGTCCACTAAGAATACGTACCATCATACTATATTCAGACTTGCAGCTCACGCTCTCTATTGGTTGTTTTCCCTTTGAAACGATTGTGTGGACCACTATCTTATTGTTGACCATATCTTCCAGCTTACTCTTCTAGTCTTTTGGAATTTTGCCTATTGGATTACCGGCAACCAGTAAACACTGCATAGCAGAGATCGTCCCGGTGTCTTCTCTTGGCAACTTTTACGTAAGATGGCGGCTCTTTTCCTTTTCAATCGTCTAGCTGCTCCTTTGCCTTTGAAGTTGATTTCGCCAACATGTTCATCTTCGTTGTCCCTTTTACTCGCAGGATTCTGACTTGAGTTTCCTTTGAGTATGGTTTGGGTTGGCTTCGACCGTATATTAGAAGACGGGGAGCCTTTTGTCTTTTTAGGTTTATTCAACTCCTCGGGAGACCTGATCCTCTTTGCCTCAGATATTGAAAGATAATTCGATTTTTCATTTGGAGTGTCATGATATTGACTCACTATGATTTCCTGAAGCATCTTCTTCAACTTACTCCTCTGTGCTCATTTTTGGGATTCGCTGTGATGGTTTTGTTATTATCACCTGAGGATTCAGAGTCGGAACCCTCACCTATGCTTAAAGGCTGAGGTAGCTAAGAACTCTCTCCGAGTATATCCTTATCATTCACCCCTATGTATTTGTCAAAAGCATGCTTTACACTTGACGCATTGTCTATCACGGAGGCCAAGGTACCGACCTCCGTAGTCTTTTGCTCACGATCGCAGGATGACGACGACACGTGAGAAGATCAACATTTGCCGCCGGTATTGGGTTATTGAGGCCCTACACGGTAATTTTTATATTATTATTTTTCATGTTTGTCTTTTTCCAGTTTTTGACAAAATTTTATAAACACGTAAAGGAAGGTTCATAATCATGAAGACAATTTTTTTAAATTGAAAGTTGAATTTCTCTATAGCATCTTTCATTCTCAGGTATTTTACGAGTAACTTCAATATCAACATAGTGGGTGTGGCGCCTACCATATGAATTTAATACTAAAATTCGTATGTATATATATCTTAGATACTATAACTAGAATGAAAACTTTACACAAGTAACGAACCAACACATTTGTTGGCAAAAATGGCGAACGGAAAGTAGTCGTCGAGGCACTTCCCATATGAAGTAAATATTCAAATTCTTATATCTGGAAAATAACAACACCTAAAGTCCGCAATTTTTTAAATAAATTACCATTTAGCAACTTTTCATTAAATAAATTATCATTTAGCAACTTTTCATATTTAGCTTTGAATTTTAATTGTGTTGTATAGACACTTTGCTAATTGACGCAAAAATTGGCACATTTTCGACCAAAACCGAAGCTTTCGCATCGAGTAGGAATGAAACAAAAAATTCTATCGTTTCTCGATTTTTTAGTAAAAATTTATTCTGTAAGTGAAAGTGAGAAGAAGCAAAAAGAATGACGTTTTTATTGGAAATTTACAAACAGCTGTCAAAAAAAAAAAAAAATAATGTTTAAATTAAACTTTTTTTCTTAAAAAATTTCACTGTTTCATTTCTCGATGCAAAAGTTACAGAAACGAGGCACATGATAAACTAAACATTGATGAACTGTTTATTTACTAAAGTTAATTTTTATAAATTTGTGTGAATCCAATTGGTCTAAAGTGACCAGCTTATAACAGGGAGAAAATAGTTTATATATTTATATCAATACATAAAAATACCTTTGTTGAATCTTCCTGCATTTTTGTATGCTCTGCAATAAATTGTACACAAAAACAACTGCGATGAACTCTTGGTGGACATTTTGAGTGTGAAAATGCTGGATTAGTTAATATAGGACTCTTAATACCAGATGGTCCTACTTCTAAGTCAGGAACTGCAGTCATATCATCAGATTCTGATTGTGTTAAAGGTGGAATAGGACCATGTATTTGGCAGCTGCCTCCAAATGGGCCACTCCCGGATAGACTAAAATAAAAACGATATACAAAGTTAGATATATGAATATTGATTATACATCCATATGTATGTACATATGTATATGCATGTATGTGTATAATAAAAAAATAAGTAAAAAGACAAATCTGTTAAGAACTGCTGTTAAGAACTGGTTAAGAAGGAATCAAAGTTGGAAATTTTGTTCATACAGGATTTTTTCAAATGATTGTAACTTTTCACCTATTGGTCCTAGCAAAAATTGTCCAAAGGAATAATAACAACCAAAGGAATAATGAGCAAAAAAAGTCCCATTAAAAAAATATTAAAAAATTAAATTTAAATAAAAAAATATATTTTTTGAAACAGTGAAGAAATAGCTATCCAGTTTCAAAAAATATATTTTTTTTATTTAAATAATATTTTTTTTTTTTTTTTGTTCAAAAGAAAGCTTATACAACGAAAATAATATGCCACTACAACCCACTTAAAATAATTTCGTGGACCAAAAATATTCTACAAACATTTTTAGATTATTTTTCCGTAATCAGCTTAAAACGACGGAATTATTGAGACCCGTTTCAAAAAAATTTAAAATATTTTATTATTCACAAATTGTACTGAGGTCAGGATTTTCAATCGCTGGTAGGGAACTGAGGAAAAAAATATTTATTTTCGAATGGTAATGATTCCATTTTTCTTCCTTTCCTAATTCTACTAGCACGCGGAGCCTTATTTGTGCCATAGACCCTAATTCATTTAAAAATGTGTCGCTCTAATTAAATTTTCTGTAAAAAAATTTAAGTAAAATTACTAGAATTAACACTTTATTAAATTAATTTTTTTACATTTACATTAAAAAATTTATTTTTGTAATCTTGAGAAATTTAATTTCATAATTGTAATTTCTTTTTCGCATAAATATGTATGTATAATTATTTATAAATTTGTATATTTTAATTTTAATAGTTGTGCTTAATAGTGCCCATACTTGCTTCAAAGGAACCATGAGACCCTTGCTGGGTTACGGGTTCAACTTCGGTCGGAGACAAATTTTTTTATTAATTCTTTTTTTTTAATTTCGAATATTTACCTCACTATTAACCAAGGTAACCGAGTTGGATACCGAAACATAGCCATGTGTTAAGTTTTGTATCCTTATTTATATTTTTAATCCTATACACCATTAATGAATTATGGTACAACAGTTCAAATTTTTTGTAATTATTTTTCTTTATTTAATATATATTTTAGAAATGAAATAAAATACTGGTGTATAGGTAATTATATTTGTGATCGTGTTTAGCGATGAATAAACCGAATACATGATCATGACTGGGAAATGGTATATTATTTGTGGTAACACTGAATACAAATCAGGCAACATAAATGATTTCTAATAAAACGTGAATTTTCAAATTATTTTCTCTCTGTAATTAAAGTCCAAATGATCCTTCCTTGTTTAATGTATCACTTATTTCGTTACGACTATTAACAACAAATAAAGTTATATTATGGAATAACATATGTTTATATCTAGCCAATCACTCCCATCTTAAATCATTCAATGATTTATCAAATATGTATGTCAAAAGAAATTGTTAGTATATGGTTAAAGACCACTACATGCTTTGATAAGGATTTTTGAATTATGCCTTCACATTTCATGTACTATAGAGTACCTGTTATGAATTCGATGCAAGGAAAAAAGAAATTCAACGAGTAAGACTGTGAAATTTGATTAATAAACAGTTTATAAAATAAAAGTTTCTTTATGAATAAGGCCTAAAGTAAATATCGGATGGTGGTACAATTTATGGACTTAGATCATTAGATTAGATTTTCTAAATAAGGACTACAATGAGGGTTGTTAGTAGAAGGTGAATTCCTGTATGGTGAATTTGGTAGAAAACCCCTTGCTCGTATAAGACTAGCTTATATCTAATTAGATACCAAAGAGCGTTAAAATCATTTTATGTGGTCACTTATGGGCCCTTGTAAAGAGATTTCGGATAATTAAAACACATTTTATGTAAAATTTCGTTGCTATACTGGTATTTTTGAGCCAATTATGAAATTTTAAGTCATTTCCTGAGGAATATGGACCGATCCACATAAAATTTCGGTTAGTATAAGACTTATTTATGTTAAATTTCATCGCTTTACTTAAATTTGTAAGCCAGATATGAGCGTTAAAGTAATTTTCTAATGGGGACCTTTATAAAAATCTCCTCATAAAATCTGATAGAGAGATTTTGCCTCAAATAAATTTATTTGTGTCGAATTTCATTACTATTTCATATTTTTGTATACTACTATATATTACTATACTCATATTTTTAGGCTCGAAACAAAGACTATAAAAACTATAAATTATTAAATAGTAGAAAAATTAGTCGATAGGGTAATATCAATGATTTTTTATAGAATTATGGATACTTCCGATCCTATTAATAATGCAAAAGATATTCAATCACCACTTAAAAATAAATCAAAACTTGAAACAGATTAGCAAGCCGTATTGGCGCGGCTGTCGGCTAGCTGCTAAGCCGAATTTTTATAGAGCCGCCGCCGAATTAACCGGCTATCGGTAGCTTAGATTCTTGCCAATGTTATCGACTAAGCTGTTTTATTTATGAAATTAATATTTTAATATAATATATGGTATATGTATGTAATTTATAAACGCTATTCTTCGAAAGAACAAAGCCGCAAAATCAGTGGCAAAAATTATTTTAAATGAGCGGAAGGGAACGGGTTCTGTAGTTTGGGACTATTTTGGAACCCTTACGCTGCGCGGTAAGTCCGTGCTCGAAAAACTTCTTTTTTGTAAGATTTGTTTCGATATGGAGCTAACAACTTTAAAAATGTAAGTAAATAAAAGAAAAATTGTATCATCAATAATTAAACATATCTCAAATTTAGCGGTATATAATATTAAATTATGTGTAGATTTAGCCAAGTAACATCAATGTCGAATATTTAAATGCACTTGCGCAACGTACACGACATATATCTAAAATGTAAAAATTACCATACTGCTTTAAAAAAAAATTAAGCTCTATCGTGTTCTTCTAAAGAAATTAAAGATTTAAAATTTGTCAATGGAAGAAGAGTAGCTAAGATGTGCTGCTTAGACCTACAAGCATATAGCAGCGAAACGGATTGTCAAAGACCTAAGTCCCCTTTCAAAGACCTAACTGTTGAGAATGTATTAGTAGAAGCACAAAAATAAACACAGTTGTTCAAAAGTTACTAAATAATAAATGTATTTTTGGTTATTAATGGGTAAATGAAAATATAAATTAATTAATTTTTTTCAAAAGATATTTCTCTCAAAACATATTATAAAGTTTATAATATAAACACTTCTTTTTGTTATTTAAAAAAAAACTTTTACTTTTCTCATTTTCAATGCGAAAATTTACAACTTCTCTTTTTTCCGTTTTAATTAAAATGAAATGTCAAAGAATAAAAAATGTTTTTTTTTCGTTTGTAAAATATAAATTACTTTCGGTATTTTAAATACATTAAAAGTGTCGCAAAAAATAATAATGATTAAGTTTAAGTGATAAGAAAAACTATTAGGTGCTAATATCCTCGCAATTTCGCGAAGATAATTTGATGTTTTGTGAGTGCGTTTAGTTCTCTCAAGTGTGTTTAATACTCTCAGAACTCGTCTGTGTGAAGAGAATAACAACTTTTTTGACAACCCTTTCAGTTTCTCCTATATGTATACTACATATAGTAGTAGCCTACAGGCATTTAACATTGTGGAGAGAAAGGACTTTTGAAATATATGTCTTTAGTAAAACCACATTGGATTTGTGGACTGATAATATTGAAAAATTTTCATATGTGAACATAATAAAAATTAATTTTTGCTCCAACTTCATAATATCAGCCAGTTTAACAACTGAGTATTATTCGCACCCACACACAGGTCGTCGAATTGCTGATTTTATTACATCGACATTAAAATCATTTAATTTAGAAAGCAGCGAAATACACGCAGTTAGCGATGGTGGATCGAATATCGTGGCTGCTTTACGATTTTCCAAAATCTTGTCTTATGAATATTTGGCGCACTCATTGCACAGATTTATAGTGCATGACGTCTTGGATAAAGCAGAATTTAGTAAAATTAAAACAGTGGTCAAAAAATTAAAGGTTACTTATACAAAATTATCTTACTGTTCCGAAGAATTAATTTCTATTCAAAAGGCCCATCTTCAAGATGATATAATAGAAATATTGTTGCAACGCACTGATATAGTTGAGTCTCTTCAATATGAGGAGGAGTTTCGTTACCGGAGGGAATGGACATCATAGAAGAAGCACTTCAAAGACAAACTCCAACTGCAATTAAAGTTGACAATGAGTGCAATAAATATTGCACTCATAAAAGTAAAAAAAGAAACTTTTGTGTTCCGCGAAATAGAGCAAGAAATAACAAAATAATTTTCCGAATTTTTATGAATATTTGAAAGTGCAACCTTCAAGGACGGAATTATCCAACAATATGTTCAATTATTTTCTTTTATGAAAATAAATAAAAATGAAGAACTGTCTGAATTTGGAATTTCAATTGCGCTTTATAATTTGCAAAAAAAAAAAATAATTTTAAAACTCGACTTAAAATTAAGAAAATTCATTTAATAGCTGCTTTAACGGATCCATCAGCGAAACTGGCCAATTTTGCAAAATTTGTTAAATAAAGTGCCGGCAACGAATAACATAAAAATAATCATGAGGAATTATTGCCAATATGCATATAACTGTTTCATACACATGCGTGACTTCACTACATATGTGTAAACTTGAGTGTTCGAAATTTCTAACGCTGGCGCCTATCATATTGTTACTGACTGACGATGACATATTTCATACTTTGTGTTATATTTAACTGTGTGGCGTCAGCTGTGGAAAGGCAGCTCTTTATTATATTTTTCTTTTATCACGTGGTTTTACATTCTATAATCAAACTTTTTAAAGAAAGGGTGAATATTTCATATATTATGTACAAGTTATATATTATGTACAAGTTAATAGTGAATTTCGAGTTTTTTGGTATTTATACATTATTTTTGTTATTGATTTGTATTTTGAATAGAAGTAAAACCCATTACCGAGTTTTTGCTGGGTATAAATGTTCGGATGAAGAGACTATTAATAATGATGAAATAACCTTAAACGTGGATCCAAATCCAATGAACGAAGTTGTCGGTTATGTTGAAATTATAGACAGTGGCTGTCCTGAATTCGAAGAAGCCTCGATTTGAATACAAGCCTCTCATTTCTTTTGGGAAACCAAAAGACAAAAAGAAATCAAAAGGAATTCCATTTTGACATTGCTCCAAATCCAGAACCATTGACTATATTGAAAGAAAATATTTGCTCAAAATTGAGCAACCATTCTCCATTGAAATTGTTTAGATTATTTTACTATGACGAAGCCTTTAATCTTATTATTAAATAAATAAATATTTATGCGAGACAAAATAATACCAATTTTCATTTGGATGAGATGATGCTTAAACGGTTCATTGGTATTTTACTATTATTGGTCTTCAAAGCTATCATTGGGGATTCCAATGGTAAAACAGACCCTGAGTCTCGGTCAACTTTATTCAAAATCGAAAATTTCTTCAATTTGGTCTTTGGGATGAAACAAAGGGTTTCATATTTTGGAAGACACAGTTGTTCATTAGAGGCAAACCAATTCGATTTGGTTATAAATGTTGGTGTCTGTGTTCTTCTTCAGGTTATAAGTCTTTCATATTCTGGTGATAATAAAATAATAAAATAATTTTAAATATATTATTTTCTTTATTTACAGGTTATCTATATTCTTTTATACCATACTGTGGATCAGTTGACCAACATAACAATGTTGTTGGATTAGGAGCTGATGTGGTTATGCAACATGAAGATTGTTTTGACAACTTCTTCACATCACACCATTTCCTTTGTTTGTTATTTGATAAAGGGTTTTGCGCTTCGGGAACCGTTTGCTTTAATCGACTGGCTGGTGGTTCTGATAAATTAAAAACCGGTAAAAATTTACCGAGGGGTAATTATAATTATAGATTTGATGCCACACAAAAAATATTGCTATGTAGATGGCAAGACAACAAAGAGTTCACAATGGCAACAAATTTCGATCAAATCTTGCCTTTGCACAATGTACAACGTTTGAAAAAATCGACATCCAAAAAGAATTGCAAAACACAAAGATGAGAAGCCTATGAGTCAAAAAGAATTCAAAATCATTGTGACAGAAGCTCTTCTTTGACTGAAAGTAAAGAAACTACCGATGATGATATCGACGATAAGGAATATCGACTACATTATCTTAAAAAAATTGAGGAAAAACACGTTATAATCAGAAATCCCGAGGGAAGACATCGTCGTTGCCAATTGAAGGGTTGTGGTAAGCCAACAATTTACATGTGCGAAAAATGTAATGTTTGTTTGCATACAAAATGTTTCAAGTTAAAACATGAATAAATAATTCTTTTTATTTTACTATTTTTTTACTAAATTTAATAACTTTTGTACGATTTGATTAAAAAATAATAAAATCAATAAAACAGCAAACAAATCCAAATGTTTTACTTGCATACAAAGTTGCTATGTAGGATAAGCGCCACTGTTCGAAATTTTGAACAGGCTTTTCTGGGAAAACGAAAATTTGGAAAAATTTTTTGACATGATTTTTGCAATCAGCGGGTCCTAAATGCCATAAAAAGTACTTTTTTCAAAAATCTGAAATAAAAATTTAAGCTCGGTACGAAATGGGTTAAACAAAAAAATTTAATTTGATTTTTTATTTATCTAATATTCGTGAAAACAGTAGTTTTTAGGTTTACAACAAAAAATATCTCACACCGAAAATAATAGACAAAATTTGATAAATCTATCTTAAAGATGATGTTTTGTAACACAGTACAAAAATCTCGAATTTTTTATTATACCAGTTTTGTAGTAACGATATGTTTATTTATATTATTATTTGAGAAAGTTTCACATTTATTTTTGCATTAAATAAGTATATAAATGTTGAAATAGATATGATAAACATTGTATAAAATAATATATAATTTAAGATACAGAACTAAGGAATATTTGTGTGTTTAAATATATTTAATGTATTTAACTTACCTAGTTTCAAAACTATATTTTGGTCGTTTTATGAATAAAAATTTAGGCAGATAATCTATGAACACATTTTTCACCCAAGGGGCCATGCGATGTGTCTGTGGTGACCGAAAGTGTACGTTTAAAACAACAACAGTAACACATATGCTTAAAGTAAAAAAAGAGAACATTTTATTTAATCGATATTATTTTATTTTATTCGAAGGGTATACAAACAAATGTTGCAATCTCCACTTTTGTAATTCTGAAACATAACGAATTAGAGTATTATATTCGGCTTTGTCGAATCATATCGTACAGATAAAGTAAATTTCGGAAGGTGCACCTTTATATGGACTTTAACCATTAGAATAATATGAACTTCTGGGTGATATATTTTAAAACTGACTGATTCAAAGGAGATCTAATAACGATAAACTAGAATAGAATGGAAATGTACACGTGTGTCAATGTGAAAAGGAGCTAAGGGAAATTCAAGAAGAAGTTAGACGGATGTATGCTCTTGAGTCATCCCCTGTAAAAGTCTGATGAAGATGAAAAGTCTACTTCCATTCTTAAATCAACTTGCAAATATAAAGATGGTCGTTTTTAAATGAGTTCACCATAGCGAAGTGAACAATTAGATTTGCTTGAGAGTTATGATAAAGCCTACAAGCGCTCCATATGTCTGGAGAAAAGATTAGAAGTAAGTTAACAATTTGATAGATAAAGGCTTTCTTGATAATTGGATGCAGAGAATAGTGCCTCTAAGAATATGCCCATATGGTATCTACCTATATTTGTTATCAACAATCCGAACAAACCGCATAGAATTAGGATGGTGTGGGATGCTGCCGCTAAAACTAATGGAGCATCTCTGAATTATTTTCTTCTAAGCGGTCCCGACTTGCTGACTACATTTATCGATGTCCTTATGGTTTTTAGAATTGGTCGAATAGCTGAAATATTTCACCATCTTTGAAATGTTTTTTTCATTTATATGATGAACGCCTTATCATTTGGACTGAACTGTGCGCCATATGTAGCCCACTTTGTACGCAACAAGAATGCTGATCGATTTGAAACACAGCATCCCAAAGCTGTTGAGGCCATAAAGAATCACCATTATGTAGACAATCTGATCGAAAGCGTGGGCAGTGAAGAGGAAGCGAAAATCCTGGCAAGGCAACCTGCCGTGACAAAAATACTTACACGATTCAAAAAAGAAAAAGATACGTAATTGGTCATCAAAATGATAAAATAGTCATCCGGGTAGACGGTGGGCAGGTGTAACTCTAAGCGTTAGGTTAAATTAACAGCTCTGGACTGTGCCGCTAAATTAATTAATTTGATAATTAATTATTTTGGTAAGTGGAGCATATATGCATACATATATACATATTTATGTTTATTTCCTCCCTACCCAGTATAAAAAGTTATAAAAGTGGTGATTACTGACTTTGCTCTTATATCCTTGAAAAATAACTCGTTTGAAACAATGTTTAGAAATATGGCGATTTTATATTACCTTATAGATACCAATATCATAGCAAATATTAAATATTTGCCCAGAAGAGGCACTACCAATGATGTGGGCGGTATAATTTCTACTACTAGTAAGAAGAACACGTGGAGACTAATAAGAATAGAAATGGATAGTGTAACCTTTCAAAGAGAAAAAATATTTAAATATATTAAGTAGTATTTAATTATAATCATTATGTATATTAGGGATGTAACGAATGCTCGAATTATTCGCTTACTTTTTTAATTCGCATTTGCTTATACATTCGGTAAATATTAGCGAATGTTTTAGCGAATACTATTTCCTAAGCTATGTATACACGGTTGTTAGATCTTACAACGTTGGCAAAAAATGTGCAGAAAATGCCTAACAACAGTGTCAACTTACAAATTTTATCTTGCAACATTTTCAGTAATGCTTTTTCTGAGAACGTTGCAAAAGAAAAATTGAAAGTTCACACATTTGTTAAACATTTTCTACACATTTTACTGACAACGTCGTGAGATCTGACAACCGTGTATCACAGCTTTTAGAAAGCTTTAAGATAATTGAAATGTAAAGAGTTTTAGGGAATGAAAATTAAAATTCTATGCGCTGTGTTTTTGTTCCAGTTGTATATTATGAACACTGCTGCCAGTGCCTCGTTTCTGTAACTCTCGCATCGAGAAGTTTCTCGCATGAAACAGTGAAATTGAAGGAAAAACAATGTGAATTGAAACAAAATATCATTTCTCACATGCAAGTGTTTCTGTAAGAAAATTTTATGAGAACTATCTGTCATTTATGTTTTTTGACGTAAGTTATTGGAAATTTGTGAGTAAAAGTGTTTCTGTAAGAAAATTTTGTGAGAAGTTTCACACATGAACTGTCAAAAAAGCTAACATTTTAAAACGGTGCGGAAAGTAAAATTTTAAGTAAAAAAAATTTAATTTAAACATGAATTCTATGAAATAAAGAAAAAGTAATGTAATATTTATAATTAATTAAGATTAAAATAAATATTGTTCACTAATTTTTAGAAAATAGGGGAATTTCGGATATACAGAAGCAAATGCTAAAAAAGTGCGTGGGCGTAAACTTAGAATTTGCCAAGGGCGAATTTAGTGGGATAATTTTTCGAACAATATACATTTAATTTCTATATTTTTTGTTTATTTATTCTCCGTTTATAAATTTGTTCGGAAATTTTTGTTTTCTTCATTTATTTTTATGTTTTTGACAGCTGTTTTATTGGAAATTTCCAATAAAAACGTAATTCGTGTAGCCTCTTCTCACTTTAAGTTACAGAAACACTTTTTACTTACAAATCGAGAAACGATACAATTTTTTGTTTCACACTTCTCGATGTGAGAACTTCTCACTAAAAGTTACGGAAACGGAGTACAGATTTTTTTCAGTGCTCATCCCCTAATAATTATTTTTTATCCCCAAAAATCCCCACCATCGAAAAATTTATAAGGTCCATTCGGTAGGTGCTAAATGGTTGAAATTTCCATAAATATTTGGAATTGTTTGGCATTGAAAAATTGGAGAATATCAGTCCAAGGTATCCGTCTCACATTTAAAACTGTGTGACTCCAAACGCTTTAAATTCCTTTAATAGGACAAAAAAGGCTATTGTCAATAATTAGTTTAAAAGTTATGGTATTAAGATAAAATTGCAAAAATAATTGAGTTCCTATTTTCTAAAATCATAATAAATGTAATACTATACATTCCAAAAAGATCGATGAATAAGTCCATATGTGCGACTCGTGATTTATTAGCCAAATGGGTATGTACAGATACTTAACTCTCTTACTTGTTTATATGTTTTCACTAAAATATCGGGGTCTTGAGAGAAATTTGGAAATTGAGATTAAAATATTTTTCTCTAACTTATATGCATAGTTAGATTTTTTTGTTATCTATCAAAGTCAGTTTTTTAGTGAATAATAAAAGTGATCACAGATTTTTTTATTTGTTACCTTTAACAACGTTTAGTTTTGATTTGGGCTGTAACACTAAGTATTTTCTAATATTATCCCAAAAGTTATTAAATAAAAAAGTAAAAAGGTTAAAAATATGTATCCTCAAAATTGTTTAATCATCTGCAACAAATTCCCCATATCCCCAAACCAAAAATACTATCCCCTATTGGGGATAAATCCCATAATCTGGCGACACTGATTACACTAGACAACACTGAAAATGTCTTTTAAATAAAAATAGCAGATTCCTATGTATTTCCACCCGCTGAGTTCAAAAATTGTTATGAAAATTTCGGGTTAGCTCTAGTTTCCGAGATATGGTTTTTGTAAAAACGTTATTTAAGACATTTGGTATTTTTTACTTAATTTCTCATAACCGGACCAATATTCATAGAGCTATTTAACAACATGGTAATCTACATAAAATTATCTGTCATTAGAGCCAGGACTGTCAGATAAATTTGTAGAAATATCGGCAATTTTTTCCCAAAAAATCGGCATTTATCGGCACTTACGTTTTAAAAATCGGCAATAAATCGACAATTGAAAGAAACACTATTTTGTACCAAAGAAACATAACACAAATAAATTCAAAAATCACAATATTGTTTTTACATACATGCATAACTCAGGGAATTTTTATTCAGAATAGGTCTAATAAAAGAACTCTTTGTAAGGGTACTGGAATAAAATCTATTAGAATTTGTATCACTTTTGCAGAAAAATGTAAATGCATAATTATTTGTGGATTACTATACATTTACCCTGTAAAAAATTTTGGTTATGAGTGATGTAGTTATTTCATACATTACTTTACAGTGAGTGATCGTTATCAACAATATTAATTAATTTTTACAATAGGATTTGTAACCAATTGTCTAGAGCGTGTGTCTAATATGGAATTAGTTGATGGTTCTAATCCTAGTCAATATTAGAAGTTTTTTGAAAATATATTGTTTTTTAAATTTTTGTTAAAACCATTCCAAATTGCACGATCAAATAGAATAGACTAATAAACACAGAAAATTAGTGCAAAGCCGATTTTAAATCCAGGAAAGTGGGGTTATCACATTTGTTATTGGTTATCGTCGAACAAAAACCGGATAGGTAAAGATTTTGCTGAGTACATTTTTATAATGGGAAATTTTCTCCAGATTTATTAACTTTTCCACAAAAATGTGTAAATTTATTTTTGAACCATAAAAAATTTCTTAAAAATTTTAAAATTTTAGCACCCTTAGATCAGACTTTTAGAACCTATTCAGGATTTTCATATATAAATTGTGTTTCCTTTTCATAATCGATCCAATTGACATTGGTGATGGAGCAAATTGTGTTCTTCCGTACTGTAAATTTTCCTTTCCCAATTGTTTTAAAAGCTCCATGTAATTTTTGCTTATGTAAAGTTATAATAAATTCGTTAATTTGTTCGATTGGGTAAAAAATCGGCATTTTTTAAGCAAAACTCGGGAAATCGGCACTTTACTATTTTAAGGTAAAATATCGGCAAAATGCCGATAAATCGGCAAATCTGGCAGGCCTGATTAGAGCATAAACCGGCGTATAGAGAGGCAGATAAAAAAAATCACCACTATACACACACTATTGGCATTTTTTTTTTTCAATTAAATTGCACTGAAAAAAATATTTGGTTATTTTTAATTTTGAAGATTAAACTGCATTACTGTAAAATGCGAATATTTATAAACAAAATGTAATCACATAGAAACAACATTTCAAATTAAAATGTACAAAAAAAAGTATGAAACAAGATGAACTTATTTACTTTCATTGTTATGCATTCTAGAAAATTATTTAGGGTGTACGTTGTTTTTGTAAATATGCTCTTGTTTTTGTTTTTTCAAGTTGTGTTTGCAATTTCTTTAACAAAGCGACATTAGCCTGCTTCAGGGATGGCAAATTTGGTACGATGGTACTTTTTTTGATACTATTTGATGTTCAAAAGTACCGTGATACTCCCGAGTCTTATTTGATACTCTCAGGGCCAATATCTCAACCTCCGGTTATCGTTTAACAGGTGGATATACTAACGGTTAAAATAGTTTTTGTATGTAAAATGTCAATTTATCGTTATGATAAAACATAATCAGACAATGAGAAAATGGGGGTCAAAGTATCTTTAAAAGTTCAAATTTGAAATTCTAAGAATGTTTTGAAATCTAGTTTTAAAAGACACTTTTTGGAAGTATGTTTTGCAAATAACCAATGCAGCTCAATTCGAATTTTTATCTTGATTGACATTATATGAATATTAATCTAATTAAATTCCATTGTTAATATTATATGAGAAAATTGCCAAAAATTTCAATTTTGAAAAAATATTTGACTTTAAAACTAATTATAAAACGATATGTTTTGAAATTAAGAATTCCACCATAGATAATAAGAGAAATTTTTGGTGAAAATTATTTGGACTTTAAAGCAAATTATTGTTTCATGTCATGGATGGTCTTATATGGTCTCATGTGTAGAATTTCCAAAATGGAAATTGCTGATGTTCCGACCGAAAATGAAAATTTAGTTCATTCTAAGATACCATTTCTCAAAATTTTTGTCCTGACGTCAATATTTGGTGAGCTGGATCAAAGGATAAAAAGGTCCTTTTTAGGGTTTTTATGATATTTTTTTCACATTTTTGACAAATAAACCATATGCAAATATTATCATACACAAATTGATTACACCAAAATGATTACAAATGTCGTAATTTTTCGGAAAAATTTTATGTTTTTCATATTTTTACATAGAAATATATAATGTAATTAATTGAAATTATTATATTATAAACCTCACCTCACCTAAATTTTACCGAAATGGTTTTTTCTGTTTTTCGAAATTCTTTATGTTTTGTATTTTATCTTAATATTTTAAACTCTATTTTGTCCCAGGTATTCTGTTAGCTACATTTATCTAACATACTTAATATGTACATCAGCATACGCGTATTAGCTTTACAATGGTAATTAACACTTTATGGTTTCATTCTATTATCAATCAAATTTTTCAGTTTAACTAACATAGTAACACAATTTATCCTAAACATCTACTTGTTTGTTACGCTTGCTTTGTAAATAACGATTTCTATGTTATTGTTTACATTATTTCGCAATGTTTTGGTAGCGTACATAAGCTTCGACAAATTTTAATAAAATTTGATCTAGATTGAATTTCGAAAAACGGAAAAAACCGTTTCGTAGATTTTATTGAGGATTATTATACCCCACACCACTTTAGTGGGGAGGGTATATTGGGTTTGTGCTGATGTTTGTAACGCACAATAATATTGGTCCTATACCCACCTTAAAGTATACCAATCGGCTCAGAATCATTTTCTGAGTCGATTTAGCTATGTCCGTCCGTCTGTCCGTCCGTCCATGTAAACCTTGTAATCAAACTACAGGTCGCAATTTTGGAGATAATTCAATGAAATTTGGCACATGATCTTCTATGGTACCGTAGATGAAGCCTGTTGAAAATGGTTTATATCGGTCCATTATTTCACCTAGCCCCCATACAACTGAACCCCTCGAATAGGGCTTTTAAAACTTATAATCAAACTACAGTTCGCAATTTTGGAGATAATTCAATGAAATTTGGCACATGATCTTTTATGGTACCGTAGACGAAGCCTATTGAAAATGGTTACCATCGGTCCATTATTACACCTAGCCTCCATACAACTGAACCCCCGAATAGGGCTTGTAATCAAACTACAGGTCGCAATTTTGGAGATAATTCAATGAAATTTGGCACATGATCTTTTATGGTACCGAAGATGAAGCCTGTAGAAAATGGTTTACATCGGTCCATTATTTCACCTAGCCCCCATACAACTGAACCCGCCGAATAGGGCTTTTAAGTTCATAATTATGTTTAATATACTCATATCTCGACAAAAAGCTGCAATAACCAAGTTGTATACAAGACTTGATGACCCCCATGAATTCCATAATAATAGGTTCTCATATGACCCTAGCCCCTATGAAAAGCCCCCATCAAAATTTCACTTAAATGTCCACAATTTTATTTAACAATAAACGGCTTAAGTATGTATATCTAAGGCAAGGTACACTTCAACTTAAATGCTTTATTATGGCAACTAAATCACATTATATTTTTGTCAAAGGTGTAGGGTATTATATGGTCGGCCTCGTCCGACTATAATTTCTTACTTGTTGTGTATTAATTTCAATCAATTATATTAAAATCATATATGTTAAAATGTAAAAAATCTAAAACTTTTACGAAAAATTAGGAAATTTAAATTACTTTTACTGTTACACAAAAATTTCTGGTATGCCATTGAAAGCGTCTCCCAAGGACCTTTCTAATGATACTAAAATTTTATATCTTTCCTTTGGAAGAAATATGAAAAAAAAAATCATAAAAACCTCAAAAAAGGACCTTTTTATCCTTTGATCCAGCTCACCAAATATTGACCCCAGGACAAAAATTTTGAGAAACGATATCTTATAATAAATTAAACTTTAATTTTAGTTGAGAACCAGGCAATCCTAATGTATATAAGAGATTTATTGACAATAAACTATCGTAACTAATATTTGTAGCTAACAATTTAGCGTATAATAAATAAATAAGTTGAATTTCTAAATTCATCCTTGAGTAGGGCCAAATGTGGCCTGAATTTCTTTAAGACAGGATTTATTAAAATATAACAAACTTTATCATGACTGATTTTAATATACATATTTACGAAGTACAATATCGGGGTAATATTATTATGGTAGCTATATGATACCATGGACATTGAAGTTCATCAAATTATATCTAACATTGAGGGACGGACAAGGATTCATTATATAAATATATGTATATTAGGGTGATCGATTCTGTTTTTCAATCGGTCTTAAAACCGGGTTTTTCTGATTTACCAGTGTCGGTTTTTTCTAAATGTTGATTTTTTCGAATATCGAATAACCCGGATTTTTAACTTTTTAAAAGCCGGTTTCGAATACTTTTATTTGCTTTGTATTCAAAGATTACTTCAATTAAATTTTGAAATAAATAATAATAACTGTTGGATAAAATTTTATCAATCTTAAGATTATATTCCAATTACAATAATTAATTTGTGTGCCTATGAAAATTTACTAAACAGGGACTAGAATAAACTAGGATTATGATTCTTCCCAATTTTTTACATTAAAGAAATAATGTTTATTTTAAAAAATCAGTTCGGGTCATAATTTTTTTTCAAATTAAACTAGATGTTTTTATTTATAATAAAAAAGCGTTTTCTCTGAATTTGAAAAATATCAACCGGTTTTTTTCAAATGTCAACTATTCGAACTACTCGAAAACCGGTTTTTGGAAAATGTCGAATAATCGATCACCCTACGGTATATATAATACCTTTTCTACTTCTGTTGTTGATTATTTAAAAATGTCTAAATATGTGAAGGTGTATTTAAGAAATTAACAACTTTCAGCAAAAAAAATATTTTAGTACTCTAAGATCCAAAAAAGTACCCTCTGAAATATTTTTTGATACTGAAACAAAATCTCATTTTCCATCCCTGGCCTGCTTTGTTGAATGCTGTCAAGCAACTAAATAAAATATTTGTATTTTTGATGTTCTTGTTTAGAAGTTCGTCTGCGATCGTGTTGTGTACATGCAATTTGCCGAAAATCTTCGTTGTCAGAATAATACTAGTGCCGACGTCTGCATTAGAGTATAATCATGCTGATAGTTACTGGAGGATACCTTAGATGTCCTGCAGCGAATTTGAAAATTGTACTTTTTTTTGTTTTATCCTTATAACTTTGATTTAAGTTAAACGAGTTTGATTTCTTTTTACAATATAGTACCAACACGTAACAATAACAACATTTCTAAATAACAATTGGCAATTCGTTAAAAATTTAGTGAAATATTTCGAAATAAATTCGTGATTTTTGGTTAATATGTTTTTTTTTACTTTTAACAATATTTGTTCTTCTTACATCAATTTTATTTTGAATTCATGAGTATGTAAAAATAACAAACAAAAGTTGAATTCAATTCGAAATATTTCACTGCGTTTTTAGCGAATTTCCAGTTTTAACCGAAAAATGGTATTATTGGTTTGTGTTGGTAGTACTTTATAGAAAAACTCAAACGAATTTAACCCAAATTATTGTTATAAGGATAAATAATAACGATTTTTGAATTCAGCGGGTGGAAATACATAGGAATTACCTATTTTTATTTTAAAGTCACGCAAAAAGTTCGATTTTGTTGACTTGTGTTATGAGAGAGTAGAAATGTCGTTACAACTCGATTTTTCATTCTTTTCAAATTTACTTAAATTATACTATTTGCATTCGGTTTCGGATTTACATTCGCAAAAAATAAAATTTATTATTCGCATTCGCTAAACTGGCATTCGCAACTTCCCTAATGTATATCCATACATATGTATGTATGTGATAAAGTACAAATGTATGTATGTATATGTAAAACAAATTACTCACCTTCTCTCCACTGTCGGATGGCAAATAAAATGTAAGGACTGTAAGGAATGAAATACCCATACAAGGAATAATAATGTTTACTGTATAAAAAAGAGTTTTACGACGCATGGTTATATTAAATGTTATATCAAGGTACGGTTCGTCGCAGCATGTGTAAAATTTTTCATTTCTATCAGGATTAAATAAAATTACAGAATATATATGAATGTATACATATTTTTTGTATTAGATATTTTATGACCCACCTTACTGCCGGTACTTCAAGTATATCCCATTCGACCGACATATAGAACTCTGAGAGATCAACTCCCACATCGACGATATTACTTCCTTGTTGTTCATCCATATGTCGTAGATCAACCTAATTTTAGCATTCAATCAGTTTTGTTGATTCATAAAAGAATTGGCAGTAATTAAAAAATATTAGATATGTATTATTGAAGTCGGTTTAAGATTAAGAGATTTCAAAGGTTATCGTACAATTTAAGCGGTTCTTAGAGATCAATAACAAATAATAGCAATAAAATATTTGATTTAAATGCATGCACAAACATAAACTATATTTTATTTTTATGTAAAAAATATAAATATTATTTTTTATATTTAGGAAATTATTATATTAATAATGCAAAAATAAATTATAAATATAAAAAAATAATTTGGACAGCAAAAAAGGATATTTAATTTAACAAACACAATTTCTTTCATCTCAATTATTTTTAATGTTTAGTAACAATGCTACATTCATAAATACAAAGATTCCAGTACATCATGTATGTATAACAAATACGATAAATGTATGTATGTACTATATATAAATATACTTATGAACTAATGAATTTATTCCTATGAATTGATGAGCATACATATATTTGAATTTAGTGCAGTTCGTTTCGGATTATGATTTTGAAACTGCAACGCTGAACATTTATTATTAGTTCGTGTCGCATACAGCAGAAGTGCAAATAATATAACGGATTCGAAATCAGTAAAATAATTATATTTGAAAAATTCAAGAGAAAAAAAATTAGAGAAGAAAAATACCAAAAATTTCTTCCATAGGATTTGCATGATTGTAAAAAATTTCACATAATTCTGCATGTTTCATGTATATTTAAATTTATTGACATTTGTTACTTAACCTTTGGGTTTATCTTTAATCATAATAATGAAACAATTTTAAAATTTTTCCGATCGTTATTTACCAGCTAAATATTTTAAGAAAAATAAGTCGGTATATTTTTTAATTTAACGTATAACGTTATTAGATTGATAATTGCTTCGGTAAAAGTATTTGAAATTACATATGTATGTATATTGATGTACCGGTATTGAATTTAATATAGAGATAAATATACCGGTATTAACTGAAAACATCCTTTGCGTCACAGTTGAAAAAATCGAAGCGCTGAAGTTTTATACATACATTTTTCATTTGAAAGTAGAAAAATTGCTTTTTTGTTATTAAAAAAATGTTAGTAAAAATAAAGAACAAACGCATTTAAGAAATTGCTTTCGGGCGGGAAGTTTCTTTAGCAAATTGACTTAAAAAATCAATTTTTATTATCAGGACAGTATTGAGAATAAGTAGTACTGTGATATTTTTCCATCCAGAAATGTTATCACCCTAATGTACATATGTATGTATGTATGTATGCAATATATAGCTATGCATGTATTTAAAAGTATGTATGTATATTTATATGAGATGGTTTTTATATATTTAATTTGATAAATTCACATAGATTAAACAAAAGCTCATAACAATTAAGACACCAAAAAGAAAATACAATTTATAGAAGCGACGACAAAAACATCCTAAAGAATTGCACTTCTATTTCTTCATTTAAGTAAACAGCATTTAGTACCATTCCCTATGCCCGTTGGGCATGTCTTTAAGACAGTTTGTCGTTCACGCAATAACAGTGAAACGTCGACTATATGTTCACTGACGACATCATAGAGGATTAAATCCACCGCTTGACGTTAACGATTACATTGATGACAATGTCCTCAGCTTTGTCGTTTACGAATATATAGGCGACAATATCGTCAACGATTATATTGACGACAATCTACTTTATCGTCAAGGATATACGACAATATCGTATACTTGGTCGTCAAAGATTTTATGGACGACAATATCGTTTACTTTGTCAACGATTACATGGATGTCAATGCTAGAAATATTATCTTTTCTTTGTTGGTACCACTTAGATACTACATCGATTTAGGTACATCTCCTTGTAAATCCTGTTTAAAAAGTAATTTAGACGATTTATCCACTTTAACTAAGATAATTTAAATATTTTAAATAAATGGCCACAATTTTCATGCCTTCAAAAGTAATTTATATTACTTACCAAAATTGGACTCAATTTTAATGGCGTTTTATTAATTATATTTCAATTATACTTAATTTCAAAACTTAAAATCACTCTTGCTTGTTCAGATGTTCTTACTCAAATAAATATTTTTTTAAGTTGTGTTTTAAGTTTTTCATATCGTAGTTATTTTACCGTTATTTTAAAATTTTTGCATAGCAATATAGCGTAGAAGACAAAATGCAACAAAATGTCGCTTGTCTAGTCGTCAACAGAGTCTAATATAAGACAACATTCCATGTATATTTGATAGAGGACAATATTGAAGGCAATATCGCTTATAGTGTCGCCAATAACTGAAAATCTTACATTTTGTCTTTAACATTGTTAATAGCGGACAATATTGTCGCTCAACTTGTCTTTAATAGGGTTTTAAAGATGGACAACCTTGACGTCTATGTCACTAATCTTATCGTTAACGAAGAATTCTTACACATTGTCGTTTAGCCAACTTCAGCGATTGGGGACAAATTCAAAAATGTCGTTCACAAATCGTCAACGACAATGTCGTTTACGATAATTTTGCCAACTGGGGTTAGTTGTACACATACATATATAAATATGTATGCATATTTAAGCTTATCTATAAAATGGATATTAGAGTACTCCAAACTTATATTGTGGAAACAAATTTTGTCCGATAGGCCGTCTCTCCCGTAGAATTGTTTTTTGGGGTTGTACAAAATTAGACTGAAACGTTAACAGTTGCCACAACGGCTCTGAAATTTTGAGGTACATTTACAAGTTTTTTTTTTTAAAAAATATATAAAACACAAAAATTTTTAATAAAACTAAATAGAAGTTATGGAATAACTTCCCCAACATTTTTAAAATTTGATTAACAAGGTTACAAAAAAAAGCCGTTTAAAAAATTAAAATTTTGACTATTACTGACAAAAGGTTTTCGTAATATTCTTAGGATAGAATGAAACTCATATTCGTGTAATTATAGACATATTTAAATGTTTTTAAGAAAATACAAAAAGTAACAGAATTGCGGTACTAAAATGCATATTCTGCGTACATTACAATTCCGTTAATAAAATTTAAAATGCACCTCATAGCCATTGCAGCAGCTCTTACGTTATCCTATCAATCTAATTGTTTGCTTGATATAGGACAATTATGGAGGGTGGACAAGTACAATTCGCATCTTAATTTTTTGGAGCACTCTAATGTACATACATACATACATACATACATACATACATACATACATACATACATACATACATACATACATACATACATACATACATACATACATACATACATACATACATACATACATACATACATACATACATACATACATACATACATACATACATACATACATACATACATACATACATACATACATACATACATACATACATACATACATACATACATACATACATACATACATACATACATACATACATACATACATACATACATACATACATACATACATACATACATACATACATACATACATACATACATACATACATACATACATACATACATACATACATACATACATACATACATACATACATACATACATACATACATACATACATACATACATACATACATACCTAAATACATACATATATATCGCTCATTTTTGGTATAAGTCAAAATTTGCTTTTTTAATAATTTTGTTCCTTAGAACAAAATATGTGTAGTAAATTTCATGAGAATCAAAGATGTCAAATTCGAAAATAGCTGCTTTCTGTTTAAAAAATTTACATATATATCGCTGATAAACGTAGTGTAAATTATTATTGTTCCATACAATATAATCGATTAAGTTATTTGCAGCCGTATAACAAAACTGTTGCCTGCGGTTTTTGTAGATGTTTGCACTGTCGTCACTTTATAAATACATTTTCTGCACATCTATAGCCCCAAAAGAAAAGTTGCTGATATTCTAAGAATACTTTTCTTAAAATATTTGTCCTTATGTAATTAGCTTATATTATAAATCTGATAAAATTCCATCTATATCTGTTTTTTTCCATTCGAACTGTAAAGTTCCAATTCATTTTTTTCAACAAATATATGTAAATATTATAAAGATTACTTGTGTATTTATTTATCAACGTCTATATTTAACATTTTTAAGACCACAGAATTTAATTTATACCAAACGTATATTCGAAATGATTGTTTCAATTATATAAAATAGTTCTTAAAAAAAAAAATAAGAACAGAATTGTACTAATAGATTTAATTTGAAATTAGTTGGGAACATCAGCAATTTTTTATTTTGAGGTCACTAAAAATTAACATTTATAGCTCATTTACTACAATACAGTTATAATTAAAAATTCCGTCTTTTTGAACTGAATAATGAAAATATCAAAAATGTCTGTTATTTTCGGCATGAGAGAGATTTTTTGTTATTAAAGTTAAAACTGAAAGTCATGTTTTTACAAATATTTGATAATTAAAAATTTTATTTAAATTTAGTTAAAAAATATATTATCAACATGATTTCTTTAAACGTTATTAAAAAATTGTAAAATGTCATAAAACATTTAAAGTCGTTTTTTTCGAAATGTTAGTTTTTGGATTATGCCAGTCTTGTAGTGAATGAGCGATATGTATGTACAAATGGATATGTTTTTGCATGTAATAACTGATTTCTACAATGATTTTAAAAATATATACCTTATAAAAAGAAAGTAAATATGATTTAGTAGGTTATCTTGAGTACATGCAAGTACATACATATAATAATTGTGGTAATAATGCATAATTATTTTAAATCACCTTATGTTGTTTTTAAGAAAATTTAACATTCAAATTAAACGAGCAAATAAACTATAAAGCTAAATAAAGAATCATGCAGATCATGAAGTGAAATTAATAGTGTATAAGTGATGAATGAATTGATATACATATATTTTACAAAAGGTAGTTTAATTCTGAAATATTTTATAAACATAATAAATATGTATATTATTTATGTTTATTAAAG